TTTTTTAAAAATATATCAATGATTATTGAATTTATAAATTTATTTAAAAGATAAAAAGTAGTATTAGTTCATAACTCTTAAGTTAAAAACTTATTTTTAATACATTCCTTTGATTATGTGAATATTTTTTAGCTTCGATACGAAGCTGAGAAGGTTTAAATTTTACTGTGTTTATTTTTGTGTATTTATTATTATTTTTTCTCAGCTCTCACCAAATCAATTTCATTTAACGGTACGTCAAAAAATCGCACATCATATCTAATCGAAAACATTACCCTCAAAAATTGTAAAATTTTTCCCTCGTTCCCTGTAGATGGGCGAAATCTTTAAAAAATTACAAGTTTAAAAATCGCTAATTTTCGTCATTTTCAATTTTTTTTTTTACCTAAAACTGCTACAACTTTTTAAAAAAGAAAAGCAGTAAAAATTAGGTAACAGACAACAATAAACGCATCATACTAAAACTAATACCTTTTCAGCTTCTCATCGAGGTAAAAAATATCCGTCTTAGTACGATACTGAATATAATAAAAGGTTCTAAATTTAAAATAACTATTATTATTGCTGACAAAATTATTCACTAGAAAATTTAAAAGTAGCATTAACGATTAATTGTAAAATAATAGAACATATTTTCTCTATTTGCGTAAATACGCATTTTAATAAATACATTTTAATAGATTTTATTTACCCAGTCCTCTAAATTTTAACGAAAATAACAATTATGTACTTTTATATTAAACAAAGAGAACAGTACCATTTACTTGTATAAAAAGGGAAGACGTTCTTTTACTGTAATTGTATTGATATCAAATAATTATTTTTCCAACATGTCTCAACTGTCTTTATTTTTTTTACTTTTTATATATGGTGCTATTGATTTGAGAGTAAGGGCCTCAAAAGTTTCTGAATTTAATGCTTTGGTGCAACACCCAGCGTGGAGAAAATTAACAACGCAGGAAGTTGAAATTAAATTTTCATTCCGTGGTAAGAGTTTTGAATATAATATTAAAGAGTTTACTTTAAATGATCTATTTCCACGTGGTTCGGACACTAGCATTATTACATATCAGAATTTTATCGATAGAGTATGGCAATTCCATTTGTTATTGAGCGTTTATTATGGCATTGATCTACAACGTTTAACCGAATTATCGATAGATTTCTGGCATCATTGTAAAAATAACTGCAACGATGACTTGCAAATAGAATGTCTAAAAAGTTTGGCTGAAAATTATCAAATCGTTATCAAAGAACTTAAAAAGATGAAAAATTCATTATTATATTTTTTTAAAATGGTTAACTTATCCACGTATACTTTAGATAATACACTTATTAATCTCATTCATTATATTTTAAGTAATTTAATAGCAATAGGAGAAAATTATAATCTTTTATCAGATGAATGTTTTATAAATAATCTTATAACGATGCAGAATGATATACGATCATTTTTTAATAAGCATACTAGTATTTTAAGAATTTTAGAAGGGAATTTATCAGAATCTTTAAGTATTTCTAGTTGGTATATTAATAATCCAAATGCACAACAAGACGATGATAAGCCAATTCAAGAAAGATATCATACAAATATTAGGAATCTTGTTCAAAGTAACAGTAGTTACGGTTTTCAATATGATTCAAATACTTATGCTGTTATCCTAAGAGCCATAAGTGTTTCTGAATTTAATGCTTTGATGCAGCACCCAGCGTGGAGAAAATTAACAACGCAGGAAGTTGAAATTAAATTTTCATTCCGTGGTAAGAGTTTTGAATATAATATTAAAGAGTTTACTTTAAATGATCTATTTCCACGTGGTTCGGACACTAGCATTATTACATATCAGAATTTTATCGATAGAGTATGGCAATTCCATTTGTTATTGAGCGTTTATTATGGCATTGATCTACAACGTTTAACCGAATTATCGATAGATTTTTGGCATCATTGTAAAAATAACTGCAACGATGATTTGCAAATAGAATGTCTAAAAAGTTTGGCTGAGAATTATCAAATCGTTATCAAAGAACTTAAAAAGATGAAAAATTCATTATTATATTTTTTTAAAATGGTTAACTTATCCACGTATACTTTAGATAATACACTTATTAATCTCATTCATTATATTTTAAGTAATTTAATAGCAATAGGAGAAAATTATAATCTTTTATCAGATGAATGTTTTATAAATAATCTTATAACGATGCAGAATGATATACGATCATTTTTTAATAAGCATACTAGTATTTTAAGAATTTTAGAAGGGAATTTATCAGAATCTTTAAGTATTTCTAGTTGGTATATTAATAATCCAAATGCACAACAAGACGATGATAAGCCAATTCAAGAAAGATATCATACAAATATTAGGAATCTTGTTCAAAGTAACAGTAGTTACGGTTTTCAATATGATTCAAATGCTTATGCTGTTATCCTAAGAGCCATAAGTGTTTCTGAATTTAATGCTTTGATGCAGCACCCAGCGTGGAGAAAATTAACAACGCAGGAAGTTGAAATTAAATTTTCATTCCGTGGTAAGAGTTTTGAATATAATATTAAAGAGTTTACTTTAAATGAACTATTTCCACGTGGTTCGGACACTAGCATTATTACATATCAGAATTTTATCGATAGAGTATGGCAATTCCATTTGTTATTGAGCGTTTATTATGGCATTGATCTACAACGTTTAACCGAATTATCGATAGATTTCTGGCATCATTGTAAAAATAACTGCAACGATGACTTGCAAATAGAATGTCTAAAAAGTTTGGCTGAAAATTATCAAATCGTTATCAAAGAACTTAAAAAGATGAAAAATTCATTATTATATTTTTTTAAAATGGTTAACTTATCCACGTATACTTTAGATAATACACTTATTAATCTCATTCATTATATTTTAAGTAATTTAATAGCAATAGGAGAAAATTATAATCTTTTATCAGATGAATGTTTTATAAATAATCTTATAACGATGCAGAATGATATACGATCATTTTTTAATAAGCATACTAGTATTTTAAGAATTTTAGAAGGGAATTTATCAGAATATTTAAGTATTTCTAGTTGGTATATTAATAATCCAAATGCACAACAAGACGATGATAAGCCAATTCAAGAAAGATATCATACAAATATTAGGAATCTTGTTCAAAGTAACAGTAGTTACGGTTTTCAATATGATTCAAATACTTATGCTATTATTCTAATAGCTTAACAAACAATTGTATAGAGTCATTTGGAAACTTAAAATTATAAAAAGTAAACATTTATCTATATATAAATAAAATATAAAATGTAATATGATATTGGAACTATTAAAATTTGAATGATTAACAATTATATTATTATTATCTTTGATATTTGAAAATAAATATTCCATATCTTAAATACCTTAGCACCACACCTTTTTACTTTTAAAGTTCACAGAGCTAACAAACATATATTAAAAATCAACTATAATATACAATTAATATTATAATAATTATTATATAATTATGTATAATATTATAATTATTGATAGGAAACTACATAAAATATTTTAAGAATTAAACTAAAGAAATGTACTGAATGTACACGTACATATTTTAATTTCAAAAGGATATTGCTATTAAAGCAATCAGAAAATTTGCTTTATAATAATAGTAGTTTTTATAATTTATTTTTGTAGTGCATTTGTATCCTAATGACAAACTTTAACAAAGTCATATTTTTAATTGTCATTGAAAACGTATTTAAAAATTGTCTCACCTCATTTTTGAAAAAAAAATGGACTAGTGATAGTTTATTTTTATGGTACAAATATTAAAACCCAACCTAATAATACAATTAGTCAGGTACAAGTGATACAATTGTATGACGCGAGATACTCGGACGACCAATCGCCGAGTGAAATCGCTTGTTATGCTTTTAATTTGATAAAAAATATTTATTACATTTTATTAACATATTACACTTAATACCGCGTAAATTATTATAATTAAATAATTATAGCTATTATATTGTAATTTATTTTCTTATGAAACTATTAGTATTGATATTATTTATTTAATATTCTCGTAGAAAACCAAATGATAGGTAAAGACAAAAAAAATTTCGAAAATTTCGAAAATTAGCGATTTTTAAATTCATAATTTTTTTGGAGGTTTCCCCCATTTACGGGTAACTGGGGAATTTTTTTCAATTTTTAAGGGTAATGTCTTCGACTAGATACGATTTGAGATCTTTTGACGTATCGTTGAAAGAAATCCGTTCGGTGAAAGCTGAGAAAAAGTGGTAACAGACACAAAAAAAAAATATATATATATATCATAGTAAAACCAATACCTTCTCAGCTTCGCATCGTAGCTAAAAACTATTATTTTGTTAAAATTCTCGATTTTATATTTTTGATTTTAAATTTTTATAATTTTATTTTAAAATACCTTACAAGGATTTGACATAGTAATAAGTCCACCGATTCTTAAAATCATGAATCTAATTTAAATTGAATAAAAATAAAACTTGTTTGAATGTTTTGCCAAAGAGTTAAGATAAATGATTTTAAATTTTCGAACAAACATAAATTGTCCTTTTTATCCAATTACATATATAATGAATAGTTGTCTAGTCGGTTAAACTTCAGTCTTTCACATTAGGCGTAAAAGGTTCTTATCTTGCTCGTCAAAATAATTTTTTACAAATTATTCTTAATTTATTATATTTTTTCAAAAAAAATTCAAATTTAGATTAATTTTTTAATATGCATTTTAATTTCTCACACAATTAGTGTAATTTTGATATTAAGTATAGAAAATTCACGCAAAAATATAATATTTTAATCACAATTTATCTAAAAAAATTATGATAATTTAGTACTTGTCTTCCATTAGACGAGCCAAGTCGTTTCTACTTAATTTTTGCGGTTCTTTTGTTAAATTAGATGTATTGTAATCATTAATCCTTATGATTTTATTTATTCCTAAAATATAGATGTCAGTATGTGTTTAACGTTGATAATGGTAATCAGTTGTGGCTTGTGGTATCGCACTTCCTATTAAAATTAATTAAAAGAAGAAAATTAGTTGAATACTAGAAATGCAGAAAGGATAGTGGGGACGGAGCAAATGATAACGGAAACAGTGCAACCCCATCGTACACAGTAAACCCAACAAATTCAAACCCACGTGAAACCGAGCAAAGTGGGATCGGAAAAAAGTGCAACCCCATCGAGCAAAGTAAAACCAACAAATTTAAACCCACGTGAAACCCAGAAATGAGGGATCGGGAGCAAGTGCAACCCCATCGAGCAAAGTAAAACCAACAAATTTAAACCCACGTGTAACCCCATCGAGCAAAGTAAGCCTAACAAATTCAAACCCACGTGAAACCCAGCAAAGTGGGATCGGAAAAAAGTACAACCCCACCCCACAACAAATCCAAATCCGTCCACTATTCTAGCAGACGCTACAAAAGCGAAGTTAGATGATTTCGGAAAAAAGTCCAAACGTTTCGAACGTACGTCTCGCTACGGAAACCAAGGGTTTGCTACACGATCTAGAGAAGGGGCGGCAAAGACCGATTACCAAGTAGGTAACAGATTACGGAAATCGGTAGCACGCCCGACGCGTCGATCGGGTTCGGGGGGGGGGGAATATACAGAAGTAGAATACTCATTAAAACCGATTAATATTTCATATTTAAGTATAGTATTCGAAATTAAAGTACGTCGAATGTAACTAATGGAGTAGGCAAAAACGAATATTCCAAGTATTCGCTAAATAAATAAATATTTAAACTCGTAACGTTTAAAATAATACAATAGTGAATTGTTCGTCATTCGAACAAAACGATTATGAATCGGAAATTCAATGTATAATAATCGACTAAGTAAGAGTCACCATGTACGATAATTGCCATACATAAAATGTAAAAACTAATAAAATATCAGATAATAAAGTCTTAATGTATTTAAAAATATTGCACACATAATTATTATTTTTTCAAATAAAAAAGTAATATAAATAGGAAAAATCATGTTTCATTATTGGGCAACAACACACATAAAAAAATTTTTTATTCATATTGAAATACAGTACTTGAAATATAATTTGAATGCATTAAAATAATTAATAATTTATTAAATGTAAAATTATTTATTATTTTATCGACCTATGGTAAATAATATTGTNCCTCCCAGATTGGTATTAAATGTAAAATTATTTATTATTTTATCGACCTATGGTAAATAATATTGTAAACATAGGATATTAGTTTCTTTTAAAAAAAAAAAAAAAAAATTAACGTTTCTTTATTAATTAATGTTTTATTATTGTCTTGATCACACACACATAAAAAAATTTAGTTGTTATTGAAGTAATATACTCTAAGTACAAATAGATATAATTATTATTAGAAAAACACGGTTTAATGAGAGACTCAAACGTAAACCGATACAATAATATTGGTAAAGGAATTTTGTTGTAAATTAAATAAGAAATAATCGTTTTCGATGAACTCCAAGAGCGAACTGCACGTAGTAATCGTGATGATCCTCCGTTGTCGAATGGCAATATCTTATGGAATAGAGGTTTGACACGCGATCTGAAAAGTAAACAATATATATGAAAATAAAATTAAAGATAAGAACTAACGAAAAGCTTACAGTACCATTTTGGAGGAACGGCGACGAACAGTAAGGGAGGGCAAGCACAGGCTAAAAAAAAACCAGCAACACGTCGTGAGTACAACAACAGAAGTGAAAATTTTGTAGCTTTACCAAAGACCGTGCACAATCTAAAATTTACAAATCACATTAATCAATACAGTCAATACTATACTTAAATATGAAATATTAATCGGTTTTAATGAGTATTCTACTTCTGTATATTCCCCCCCCCCCGAACCCGATCGACGCGTCGGGCGTGCTACCGATTTCCGTAATCTGTTACCTACTTGGTAATCGGTCTTTGCCGCCCCTTCTCTAGATCGTGTAGCAAACCCTTGGTTTCCGTAGCGAGACGTACGTTCGAAACGTTTGGACTTTTTTCCGAAATCATCTAACTTCGCTTTTGTAGCGTCTGCTAGAATAGTGGACGGATTTGGATTTGTTGTGGGGTGGGGTTGTACTTTTTTCCGATCCCACTTTGCTGGGTTTCACGTGGGTTTGAATTTGTTAGGCTTACTTTGCTCGATGGGGTTACACGTGGGTTTAAATTTGTTGGTTTTACTTTGCTCGATGGGGTTGCACTTTTTTCCGATCCCACTTTGCTCGGATTAGTTCAATTATTAAATATCTAGTAATATTAATTAATTGGTATTCAAAGTATCAGAAGCGTAAAAGACCGAAATTTCAGTTTTTTTGACTGTGAACTGAACAAAATATTTATTATAAAATAAATTATTAATGAAAATTAATTTATAATTAATCAGAGGCAATATTTTCTATCTTATCTAATGTTTAAAATTTCTAAATACGTTTATTATTAATAATTTCAATTCACGTGTCTGAATATAAATTGTTTAGAAATAGTTTTTTTATTTGAGATCGTTTTTAGCTTCGATGCTACTTGAGAAAATATTAGTTTTCTTTAAAAATATCGCCATATTTTCTTAGACATTATTGTAACAATTTTTTTGAACTATACAACAAATGTTCATAAGTTGTGTTTAGTTAAACACGTCACCTTCAAAAAATAAAAATATTTCCCTCGTTCCCTTTTTTTTTTCCACGACCGGCTTAGTTGTAGGCCGCCCTGGAACTATCGTTAGGTATTACTTCATGGCGGCCCACGCCGTCTTTAAAAATTACACCACCACGTTGTGAATCAGCCCGAAATTAATCAAAAGCTGATTCATAAAGTGGAGTGGCCTCCCCCGTTCAATGCGAGAGGGACAAAAAAACTCACAACACATAAAATTAAACACAAAATACCTAAGGCGCCGGCCTAAAGCAGCGCCTTAGGTCCTCCTGTACCGGGCGGCACGGCTGCCTCTGTCTCAGGCGTTCAGTTTCCTCCTTCTTTTTCAAGATGGATTCGGCGAACGCCTGGACGAGCATCCACGCCTCCCGGCTTCCCAACATCAGGTCCACCAGGGACCCGACTCGGAGCGTGGACCCTAGACGGGACTCCAGAGAATCCCGTTCCTGGGCCCACGCCTCCCACCGGAAGAGGATGTGCAGAGCACTATCAGCCTCTCCCGGGCGATCCAAACAGTGGTCGCACATCGGCGCAGCTGCTTTACAAATACGGTGCAAGTACTCGTTAAAGCAGCCGTGGCTGGACATTACTTGTGTGAGGAGATAAGTCATCTCACCGTGAGTCGTCCGGTCCACCCACCTGTCCAGCCGATCGGGTCTTATGAGGGACCTGGTCCACTCACCTCTCGTCGTTTCCTCCGAAAGGTGAGTCCGCCACCGGAGCATGGTCATCCACCTGAGTGCTAGCCGGTCCTCGGGTTAGAGGGACCGGTTGCGTTCTCGGCGGAGCTCATGCCCGGCGGCGCGTTCCTCGGTGAGCAGGTCGGCGAGTGACAGTGACGACAGGATACCCGCCGCCACTCCAGACACCGTTCGGTACGCCGAAACTGTCCGGATCGCCGCCCGCCTCTGGACCCTGAGCAGGGCNTGTCCGGATCGCCGCCCGCCTCTGCACCCTGAGCAGGGCTTCACGGTTTTTGGACGAATACTCAAGAGTATCCGCCCAAACCGGGGACCCGTACAGGAGGACCGAGTGTACGACGCTAACTAAAAGTCTGCGCCGCATCTCTCTCGGCCCTCCCAGATTGGGCATGAGTCCCGCTAGGCTCCCTCGTTCCCTGGAAATAAGGAAATCCTTCAAAAAATTCCAATTTCTTAATATCAGAAATTTTCTATGCTTCTAAAATTTTTTATTTATAACTGCCATAAATATTTAAAAATTAATAAATCAAAATATTTTTTATAAATATTCAAGGTATTTACCTTTCATTAGGCATTTATTTTTATTGAAAACCTGATACTTGTCCTGCCCACGGTAGGAATTCAAAAGAGCAGCTGAAAAAAGTAAAGTAAATCTTCTCAACTTAATTTTTAAAAATGTTCCAGTATTACTCCGATATTTAAATATATGTTAAAGTAAACATTGTTAATATATTTTTATCGAAACGTATGATAGTAATTTTATATTATTGTCAAGTATCATCTACACTTGTTTCAACTATGTTGTGACGTCACTGTCCTAGGGTTTTTAATAATGAAACTATAATTGGTTTGTGGAGTAAGGGCTGGCTCTAATTTTTATGGTAATTAAGATAGATTAATAAATGTTTTGGAGATATATAAAAATTTTAGAATGTAACAACCGGGTATGGAGCCTGAAGCAAATTTCCCAATAAGCGTACAATCTTTTTAAACAAATATCAGTAATTCTCCGTTATTAAAAGTATTAAGATGCGAGTTAAAAAGTAGGACATTTTTTAAAAACGTTGATTTTTATAAAATCTATGTCAATAGATTTTTAATGTCATAAATCATTTTATTAAATTTTTTATGAAACTTTCAGAAATTTGGGTTTATGAGTTCAGTTATAATAAATGAATTTGGAAAATTTGTACTTTCTATACAAGATTTAACGATTCCACAGTACTTTAATCCAATTGATGACGAATGGAAACGAGAAAAATGTAATAGTTTGGGGTTTACATATAAAGAACCTGTGACTTCCCAACTATTCACTGTTAATGTGGTCCCCGTTGATATATTGAACAAAAGGTATTTTTTGTACAGAATTTTATCTGATTTAATATGTAGAGATGGTAGTTTACATAGTAAACTACAAAAAAAAATTTTAATCGTAAGTTTTACATTTAAATTTTTATAAATAAAATTAATTTTTAAGATGAATTATTTTTATTTATAAATTAAATAAAAATTAGAGTCTAACAAAAAATCCAGTTATGGAAGAATTGTTTGTTACTAAAGAAAAGTTCAATGACTATTTAAATAAACACGTGATAATTAAAGACTCAGGTATTAACTTCTATATCATATAATATATTTTTTAATATAAATTTATAGTGATATTTTGCAAATAACCTCAAATCATATTTTCTATAACACTTAATTGAATAACTCTATACCTCAAAGCAGTAGGTTCCATTATATAACATTTCTTTTTTTTGTGTATCAACATATGAAAATTTTTTATGTATCTTTTTATCTGTTGTACGTCGATAGTACTTCGACGAAGATACAAAAATAGTACACAAATTAACTAATACTTCTCCATTTTAATCATAGAATACATATTTATTGAGTTATTTATAAATTAATTTAATTGTTTCAATAGAGCCTTTTAAGAAAAAAATTGTATTTTTTGCTCTTCTGAATAGTAATAATAATGGACTTGCTCTACTGTTTCTCTACTGGATCCTTACTGTTTCTCGGGTATAGAATGATATCATGGCTAGGTTACCTAGTCCAATACAAAAAATAGTGTTGAAAATAATAACATTGATTATGCAATTTACATTTCACCAGTAATATAAGATTTATTTATCCTGAAGGACGTTTATTAAAATTACGTCGGATTCTATTATACATCAGTTTTCTTATGATTTTTAATTTGGCCTTGTAGTAAATAGCTGACAACGAATAAAATGACTTCTATATAAATATACAAAACGTTTTAACACTGTAAAAAACAATTCTGAAGTAAATCTTACTATCTGATAGTTCTAAATATGCATAAAAGGGAAACATTGCGCTTAAAAAATCTTCAAAAACTACTTTAATGAGTAAAAAAAATATGTATAAGTGACCCACTTATACATATTAATACAATATATTGTAATTTATTAATAACTAAATCCATTATATTTGTAAACAAAATGATTCGACATAACTACTAATACGACATAATAATTTATTAGTGACAATACAAGACATTTAACATTGTAGTTTTATTTATAATAAAATATAAATTATCTGGTTTTGTCTTTATTTTTCTATTGAATGATTTATTTTGTAATATTCTATTTTCTTAGAATAAAAAAAATGACTTTTTGTAAATTGCAAAATGAGAAACATCTAAGGATAATTTGTTACGAAAAAATATTTATTAGAGACGTATTTTTATAAACCATTAATTTTTTATTTCCATCATCAATAATATTGTAAACAATATATTAAGTCATGTAAATTGTTACCAAACTTTGTTGTACCTTCAAAAAACTTCAAAAAACTTCTCACACGAGAAATATTTTTAAAATATTTTTAGTCTTCTGATATTTTTAAAAGAGATAAGATCAATTAGATGTAATTTTTATTTATAGTACAGAATCATGTATGAATTTTTGTTATATATTACAGATATGGATGAAGGTTAGTTATAAAATGGCCCTGAATTGGCCAACAAGTAAAAATTGGTTACTTTTTCGAAAAATTCTTTTAAGACTAAATTAGAGCGATAAATTAAACAAACTTTTATTTGATTTCACTTAAAATATTTATCTTAATTATCAATTATATTTAAAAAGGAGTTAAACAATGTCCAGTTTGTTACNAAAATATTTATCTTAATTATCAATTATATTTAAAAAGGGGTTAAACAATGTCCAGTTTGTTATGAAGATTCTACTGTAATATTATGGAATTGCAAACATCAAATGTGTCAAAATTGTTCAGAAAAAATGTTAGAAAGAAAACAAATGAAGTGTCCACTTTGTAGAGAAAAATTTTTTTCTTTTTCAGACAAGGAATTGGGTATGATATAATTTTATATTTTTTTTCTGAAAAGTTAATTTAAAATCTAAGTTTATTACATCTGACCTACGTAAATTTTTTTAGGGGATGTAAAAAGTACTTTTGTACCAATAGAATTATTAGCTGCAGCTTATTATTTAGATGTGTGTATTCAAGTATATCTTATAGATTATGGTTGGTTATTGTTTCGTAAAGAGTGGCCATTTTATGATGAACTTGATATGCAAAATGAAAAATGCATTTATTTATATATGTCCAACACTCATGTGGGCGTTATTTCTGACGTGATAAATCAATAAATTTTTATTCACTTCTAATTATCCAACTGGTATTATGTCATTTTTAATATTTTTTGATAAAAAATATTAGTATTTGGCAACAGTTAATATATCAGAGGAAAAATAATAGTATATAATTTAAAAGTTATAAATATTTTTGTCAGAGAGGGGCGTGAAACTCATAGGAGAGTATAATAATATTTTAACAAAAAACGACGCACAAAAACAATACCTATTACAGATTGTTTCAGAATACCGGCGTTGTTTTTCTAATTGCAATAAAAGCACATTATGCCAAGAATTTTAAAAAAGATAAATTATTTAAAATATGTAATACATTTTTTTAGTACGTTTTTCTTTTGTAAATAGTTACTGATTGTATATAAATTTGTAAGTTAACATTATTTTAGCTTCAATGTAGAAAATTAAATTTAAAACAAGAGCTATGATATTTACAACTGACAATCAAAATATATCAATTGTTCTACAATAAATAATTTATAAAAATTATGTAGTTAGTACCCAATTAAGTTTTTAAATTTCAATATATTCTTTAAATTAATCAGTAGAAATACCAAAAGAATTTATTTTTATTTTTATTCTAGATAATTGAATTTATTTATTTATAATCCATTTAGTAGCGTCATTTTAGATTATAATAGACTGGGGTAAATTTTTAACCGGCCCATAATTTTACAAAGACGCTCGCTTCACGTGCAAGTTATCCACATAATATAATCTCAAAACTTATTTTATATAACAAAAACTATTTTTAAAAAATGTCTATATGACTATTTTTCATACATTTTAACATAAATAAAATGACTTTTTTTAACGTTCGTTGTTCTTTGTAGGATGGAGTTTTATAATGAAAAAACAATAAATAACATACATTTTAATACACTACATGAAAAATTATTGGGGTAAATGTCTAAGTGGTTCCCTTTCCAAAATGACTCTCCTTAAACTATTTGATTTAAGGAATAGGAAATCGCATATACAACTAATATTCAATTTATAATTAGTTATACTTAATATAATTTTAACTTGAAATAGGATAAAGTTTTACTTTCCATTATAGAATAATATTAGAGTACTACACGTCAATGTTATTTGTAGGATTTTAACTTACATTTTTAATATTTTTCTTAAAGATAACTATATATAACTTTATTCGTTTATTAGATATAAACACTTAAAGTTTCAAATTTTTGAGTTAATATACATGTATAATACACAAAGGATTACAAATACAGGTAGCTAATTGATTTTTATGACATCGATATAAGCAGGTACACAGCTTTATTATTATCAATGGTAGTAAGACACATTGTTGTGAGTTAATAAGTACACTAACTGACAATACAGAAAGTATATCTATTGATAATCATAATTGATAATAAAAAATCCGTGACTGTGACAGCAATGTCATAAAAACCAATTAGCTACCTGTATTTGTAATCCCTTTTGTATTATACATGTATATTAACTCAAAAATTTGAAACTTTAAGTGTTTATATCTAATAAATGAATAAAGTTATATTAAAAATTCAAATGCCATTTGCTATTAATTTAAAACTCAAACATTTTATTAAATTCAAAATATGTTTTCTCATATTATTGTAGTGTTTTTTGAATCAAACAATATTTTTCTTACCAAAAATTTAAAATTTTCAATGGTTACTGAGTAAACGAGTGTCTTATCCTTAATGAATCACCCTGTATATAATATTATTACTAACTAGTAGATTTTTACCTAGCAAAAACTAGATATTACTTTTACTGAATACATTTATTTTACATACAATTTGATAATATTAAAAATAAGCAATATAGCCTGTGTATTGTCGATAACATTTATAAACACAACTTACACTCAGAAATGTTGTTTGTATTTTAAAAAATGTGGAACTGCGACAACATTTGGCGAAAATACTAAGTATTAAAATGCAATATTGTAGGGTGTTCAACAGAGTTAATAATGTAGGCCAAAAATGCTAAAAATTATACATCGTAAAGGAGTAGCCAGAAGGTTATTTTCGAACTTTTTCCCCTTATAATTGTAGTGATTTTCAGATACCCAAAATATTTCTTTCAACTACGCAAAAAAATTTTAACAACTGTACAAACCGTATTAACTTCACTTTAAATTATAGCCTGATTAGGTACAAAAATACATGTTTTGATAAATCATAAGTTGCAATAAAAAACTAAAAATGTTTTGTATTTCATGATTATTGTTTGATTAAATATAGTTTGATATAAATTAAATTGAATAGTTAATTTTAGAATATATGAAATGTTTCATTTATTGAACAATAAAATAATTTCAATATATATTAAATGAATTATATGAATTTTACAATATATTATTTACAGTAATAAAATATGTCTAATACCTGTAATTATTTTCTAAATTAAATTTATAGATTTCTGTATTATCTAAAAAATATATTGACTTGATATTCTAACCGCAACAATAATAGTATATGTAATAATTTCATATTAAACTATCAGTACTTGAATGAATGTTTTTATACAAATACAAAATTAATTTAAAATAATGTGTTATTTTTAAATAAACAACAGACAGACGTTTTATAAAATTTCAAAACAAAAATTTATTATTTTTTAAATAAGCTTTGCCAATTTTTAAGCTGATAAATAAATATAATTCTAAAAACGAATAGTATAAATTCATATAGATTAAATTTCATAATATGAATTTTAACAAAACTATATATTGTAAAGTTTAAAAGAAATACATTTATATTAAAAAAAAATTTCAAAGAACATAAATTAATGTTATATTATAATTAAATTAAAAATTAAGTAGAATTATAAAGGATTGTAAGTTTGATAAACAACATAACTATTTTTATTAGGTTTTATCATCTCTAATACAATGTTTCAATATGTCTATTATCATATTATATTGTAATACTTGACCCTCTTTTTAATTATTCAATAACTGTATAGAAACATATTTTTATAAATGCATATAATTTTAATTTGTGATACCATATAATAACTAATAATATTAATAAATAAGTAAACACAAGCAGCACTAGTGATGTACGAATTAAGAAGCTGAGATAGTAAAATAAATTAAGTAAAATTATTCATTTTACCTTATAAGACGTCAATAATAAACTCAGACCATAGTGTACCTACTCCACGGTGCTAGATATCCTGCTCTTAATGCATTTATTTAAATTAATTAATAAGATTTAATTGAATCGGTCATTATAGTTAACCTGTTAACTAGATCCCTCCTTTTCATTTCTATAGAAGTTTACTAATTTTGCTTCGATACGAAGCTGAGAAGGCATTAATATTTCTATAATGTTTTTTTTAAGTATTTAGAGTATCTCGATCTAATAGTATAATAATTTTTTTAATTCATAATTTATACCTTATATCGGTGTCAACATTATAATTTTAAATAACAACATATATATTTAATTAGCTTATAAAATAAAAATATCATTTGATTAAGAAAATGGATGGTCGATGACAAATTTGACCCATTATTTCAAAAGTAATAAATATTTTGAAATATAGATTGAAGGTGAAGTGTGGCATATATTAGTTTTATCATTATTCTGCCGCACTCTTTCTTCTCTCTATATTTTAAAATATTAATGACTTATGAAGTACATCTTAAGTACTATTTCAAAAATTGTTATCCACCAGTTTTTTTTTAATTATGTAATATGAAAATATTAGAACCTTCTTCTGCTTCATCACCTTAATATCAATTACTTGGCGTAGCCACTCTTATCCTAAACTTCCACTTGACACGATCTCCCACATCCTCTACGCACACATCAGCTGTCCTCATATCGCATTCTATAACATCTCTCCATCTCTTTCTTGGTCTTCCTCTACCCCTTCTTCCTTCAACATTCATTACTACAACTGTTCTTACGGCTTCCGATTTTTCTCTTATCATAACATGACCAAACCATCTAAGTCTATTTTCTCTCATCTTATACACGATTGACGCTACACCTCTAGTCTGTGTGTAGGATCTCAATTAATTCTAGCCAATCATATTTAACTATTAATTAAGATCTACAGTTTCCAAGAACACACAAGGGATCGTTACACTACTGTCGAATAAGATTAATAACTAACTTAATTCTAATGTCCATTGGTGTATTAAGTTCAGAAACATTACACTCGAGAAAATAATCATAATTTGTTTTCTACTAGTTGCTAAACGTGTTTGAACGAGTACAATTAGAATAAAATTATTCACCGAATGTATTATTTTAATTCAATTATCAAATTTATGTGACTATGTACTTGTATTTTAACTTAGAAATACGTAATATATTTTGAACACTAATTTAAAGGATAATTTTTTTTTATTATTACTTAAAACAAATAGAGGGTATAGGAAAATTTTAGCTCTAAATAATTATAGAGTAATTAATGTAATAAACAGCATTTTATTAACACGATTTATTATTATCTCCCTCTTATATGCTTGTTCCTAATCCTATATTTTCTAGTTACTCCACTCATCCATCTAAACATTCTCATGTCTACTACACTCATTTTCTGCTCTACTTTCTTATCAACCGCCCAACACTTTGAACCATACATCATAGCTGGCCTCACTACAATCTTATAGAATTTAGCTTTCAGCCTCATAGGAATTATTTTATCACATAACACACCAGACGCTTCTCTTCACTTCAACCACCCGCACTTAATCCTGTGTCTTACATCCTTGTCAATACCACCGCTCTTTTGCACAACTGAATATGAAAATATTAGAATATGTATGTTGCAATTATAAAAACATTAGTTGACCCTCTTATAAGGTAAAAAGGATGAATTAATAAAAATTTCATAATTAAAAAAGAAAAAATAACGAAATATACTATTTAATGACTTTTTATAATTTCTCCTTAAAAATTACAATATAAAATTATGGAATATAAATTTCATACTAAATTTAATTATTATAGTAATTATTTATTCATATATTCTACTTATAAATTATAAAACTTGTAATCAAGATATAAATAAGGAAACCCACCAACTTATTAAAATCATATACTATCTACAAAATTTAATTAAAACATTTAATGTAATAGTTATGTTGTATATATACTCAATCAAATAAATTTAAGCAATTTAGACCACGGTGGCATAAATCAATTATAATTATATTTTTAACATGGAAAATCTAATTATAAGATTTAATACCAAATAATACAAAAATAAAATGTAACAAATATGATATCATTGGATAACAACGTGATTTTTAGCAATTAAAACTAAAAAAAAAAAAAGACGTAAATATATTATACAACCATATTATTAAGTACTTCTTCTTTTTGATATTAATAAAAAAAAATTTATATTAATAAAATTATTTATCAAACAAAACTTTAAATATATTTTGTGAGAGAATCTGTTTTAGACTTAAGAGAAATTTTTTTTTTTTAATTTAAAGTAAAGTTAATATTATTAAAAATTTATGAAATTAGAATAAATAATTAGTAGTAATACCTTTTACTGCTTATGGGATGAAGGACAGGAAAAGAGATAATAAAACATTTGGTTTTGACTACTACATGCGCCGTTTTCGTTTACGTCTGCTATACTTTGCAATTGTCGTTCAATATTTTGTATTCTGTTCAAAGACACCATACAATTTGAACCGTAATTATACAAGTCCTATAGTTGTATATCTGTTGTTGTCAAAAACTGTCAGTTTGTGGATTACATGCGATTTTTTTTTTTTTTTTTGTTGTTGTTTACGACATTCATAACATGTAACTCTTCTTGTTCTACACCGGCAATTTTCTATTATGTTAATTGCAGTTTTTTCACTCATTAAGTTATTTGTTTTGATGGTTTTCTTTTTGCCTGGTGTATGATAGGTAACCAAGTCTTGCTAATAGTCCATCTAACTTCTCGGTTGTAATTTTCTGGACATTTTTGGATTTCTATTGATTGTTTGCACATTTGGTTACGATTAATATAAGGAACTGGTATTTGGTAATTGAAACGCACACTCAATGGTCCCGCAAATATCTTCAAATTCATAAGCGACTAATGCGTCGATCGTCCCAAATTCGTCTACTTCTATATCAACAAGAGCATCCAATATGGCCACCCGTTGTTTCATTAATATATTTTTCCAATAATTTTTAATATCCCGTTCCGAGTGGACCAAAATGTATGACACAACTGAACAGTAATTATGTATAAGATACAAACTATGATTGAAAGTTGATATGAATATATTTAATCTATTGTTTTATTGTTTTTTCCTCAGATTGATAGAATTGGGGTAATGCAAATTTACTTACCATTTTATTTTAAAATGATAGCGAAAAATTTATGAATAACATTCGTTATTAGACAAAGATGTTACGTTCATATTTTTTACTTGAATTGCTTAATTTGCGCATACAAAAATTCAATGTGTCTCTTAATTATAAAATATAAAAATGTTTCAATGAAAATAATTTCGTTTCATAATGCACAAATATAGAGTCGACCAAAACACAGAGCTACAGTTAAAGAATCTTAAAACAGGAAATTTGACAAAAGACAAACCAAATTCTGGATTGAATCCAGAACTGGGTTTTTAATGAAAATCAGCACCTTTTATATGACAGTAAAATTACTATGTATAACACATGCAAAACAAGTAGCTAATATTAAAAGAATGCCTTTCTAAACAACAAATTTATGATTTTTTAACATTTATCCTTAAAAATTACAATATTAAACTATTAAATATCAATTTCATACTACTTGTAATTACTATAATTGTCTCTTCATATATTAAAATATGATACTCATAAATCAAAGAGCTACAATAGAGTTATAATTAAGGAAATGTAGCTTTAAGAATAATTCACCATTTTCTTAAAATTAAACTATAAATAACTACAGTATTTAGCGTATCTTTGATAGTACTTTTAACCAATGTAAGTTATCATCTATATTTGTCCCAATTTGCCACGTCCAAATTGTTCCACAACCCCGCTGTATTACCTTTTTTTAAATGTTTAAAAAATATACTTTTAGAAAATTGTGTGAATGTAATATTCGGTTGCACGTCTCCACTGGGTTTATTTGTTTGCCTATACCAAATACTAAGAAACAAATATTGTAAAATGTCTTACAAATTTTTTGAAATGTCTAATATTAGAAAACAATTATTTTTATTACAAGTCTTGTATTTGTTATATTACAATAAATTTATACAACTGACATTATAACATAAGTGAATAAACATTTATGGATATGTTACGTCAGAAATAACGCCCACATGAGTGTTGGACATATATAAATAAATGCATTTTTCATTTTGCATATCAAGTTCATCATAAAATGGCCACTCTTTACGAAACAATAACCAACCATAATCTATAAGATATACTTGAATACACACATCTAAATAATAAGCTGCAGCTAATAATTCTATTGGTACAAAAGTACTTTTTACATCCCCTAAAAAAATTTACGTAGGTTAGATGTAATAAACTTAGATTTTAAATTAGCTTTTCAGAAAAAAAATATAAAATTATATCATACCCAATTCCTTGTCTGAAAAAGAAAAAATTTTTTCTCTACAAAGTGGACACTTCATTTGTTTTCTTTCTAACATTTTTTCTGAACAATTTTGACACATTTGATGTTTGCAATTCCATAATATTACAGTAGAATCTTCATAACAAACTGGACATTGTTTAACCCCTTTTTAAATGTAATTGATAATTAAGATAAATATTTTAAGTGAAATTAAATAAAAGTTTGTTTAATTTATAATAATTTATCACACTAATCTAGTCTTTAAAGAATTTTTCGAAAAAGTAACCAATTTTTACTTGTTGACCAATTCAGGGCCATTTTATAACTAACCTTCATCCATATCTGTAATATAAAACAAAAATTCATACATGATTCTGTACTATAAATAAAAATTACAGTAATTTAAATAAATAAAAATTACATCTAATCGATCTTATCTCTTTTAAAAATATCAAAAAACTAAAAATATTTTTAAAATATTTCTCGTATGAGATATTTTGAAGTTTTTTGAAGGTACAACAAAGTTTGGTAACAATTTACATAACTTAATATATTGTTTACAATATTATTGATGATGGAAATAAAAAATTAATGGTTTATAAAAATACGTCTCTAATAAATATTTTTTCGTAACAAATTATCCTTAGATGTTTCTCATTTTGCAATTTACAAAAAGTCATTTTTTTTAATCTAAGAAAATAGAATATTACAAAATAAATCATTCAATAGAAAAATAAAGACTAAACAACATAATTTATACTTTATTATAAATGAATATACAATGTTAAATGTCTTTATTGTCACAACAAAAAGTTTACAACCAATTAAAAAAATTATTGCTGCATTTCAAACTTTGCGTTTTATTAGTATGTCGTATTAGTAGTTATGTCGAATCATTTTGTTTACAAATATAATGGATTTAGTTATTAATAAATTACAATATATTGTATTAATATGTATAAATGACCCGCACTTATACATATATTTTTATTCATTAAATTAGTTTATGGGGTTCTTTTAAACCCAATGTTTCTCGTGGAGGCATATTTAGCACTATCCGATGGTAAGATTTACTTCAGAATTGCTTACTACAATGTTAAAATCGTATAGTATATAAATATAGAAGTTATTTTATTCCTTAAATTAAGATCAAGTTATAAATCGCAAGAAAACTAATGTAGAATAAAATCCAACGTAATTTTAATAAACGTACTTCAGGATAAATCAGTTACATAGGCCACATTGTAATCATAATATTAATGAAATCTGTATTTTTCTTAACCAAATAAAACTTATATTTCTGGTGAAATGAAAATTGCATAATCAATTTTTATTATTTTCAACACATTATTTGTATTGGATTAGGTAACCTAGCCATGTTATAATTTTATAAACGAGAAACAGTAAGGTTGCAAGTCCATTATTATTACTATTCAGAAGAAGCAAAAAAACAAGTTTTTTCTTAAAAAGCTCTACTGAAATAGTTTAATTTATTTATAACTCTATAAATGTTTATCATATGATTAAAAAGCACATAGGTAAAAAGATGCATATGTTATTACATCATAAAATGAAATTTTATATAATAGAGCCTTTTGCTACTAGTTACGGAATAATTCAAATACGTTTAAAAAAATATGTTATGACATTATTTGAAAATAAAACTAATGTATAACTAAAAAATATCATTATAAATTTGTATTAAAAAATATATTGTATGATATAGAAGTTAATACCGGAATTTTTCATTATTATGTATTTTTTTATATATTCATTGAACGTTTCTTTAGCACCAAACAATTCGTCCATGATTGGATTTTCTTTAAGGCTCTAATTTGTATTTCATTCATAAAAAAAAAATTATCATTCAATTTAATTTTATATATAAAAAAATTAAATAAAGAACTTACGGTTAAAATTTTTTTTTGTAATTTACTATGTAAACTACTATCTCCACATATAAAATCAGACAAAATTCTATACAAACAATTCCTTTCGTTTAATATATCAACGGGGACCACATTAACAGTGAATAGCTGGGAAGTCACAGGTTCTTTATATGTAAACCCCAAACTATTACATTTTTCTCTTTTCCATTCATCATCAACTGGATTAAAATACTGTTGAATTGTTAAATCTTGTATAGAAAATTTGAAATGTCTGTTATCATCACTTATTTTAACTGAATTCATAAATCCAAAATTCTGTAAGTTTTAGAAAATATTTAATAAAATGAATTATGACATTAAAAATTTGTTGATTTAATGTTTTTAAAAAATGTCCTACTTTTTAACTCGCATTTTAATATTTTAGTCACGTAGTATTAATGATATTTGTTTAATAAGATTGTATGCTTATTAGGATATTTGCTTCAGGCTCCATACCCGGTTGTTACGTTCAAAAACTTTTTATATATCTCCAAAACATTTATTAATTTAACTCAATTCCCATAAAAGTTAGAGTCAGCCCTTACCCCACAAACCAATTATAGTTTCATTATTAAAAAAACCTAGTACAGTATCGTCACAACACTAATTTTTGAAAATGTATCATAGTTTAAAAAAAAAAAAATTGAAAATTAATAATGTTGAAAAATATTAATTTTTCGAGGGATTCTTTCTCTATTACGGGGAATAATTAAATTTTTTTCAAATCGTTAAAGTTGATGTCTTTGACTAGAGATGATTTGTAGTCAATTTACATATTTTAACTAAAATTTTTTGATTGGTAAATTCACATTTTCTAAGAAAATGTAGCTTTAGATTAAAAAAAACTTTTAGTAACAGTAATACTTTCTCAACATCTCATCCAAGATACGAATAAATAGTTGATTTTAAATTAAAAAAATATTATTTAATTAAATATATCTGTTACATTATTTATACAGAACAAATATTATTTTAAGATTTTTCAAATACATAGGATATGTTTGGAAACTATTACTTAACTAATGACAATAAAAATTCAAATAGTATTCAGATACATGAATAGAACTTATTAATTATAAACGTATTCAAAAATTTTACAACCTAGATAAGATACAAAACATCGCCTTTGATTAATTATTTATTAATTCACATTAATAACTTATTTATAATTAAATATTTTTGTTTAGTTAACCACCAATAAACCTAAAATTTCGATGTATGAAGCTTCTGATACTTTGAATATCATTTTAATAATATGTGATAGTTGAGACACATGTAAGAGCATATTATAATAAAATTTTCTATTTATTTTTAATGGACAAAAAAAAACCTTATTTAAAAAAAAATTATTATTATTATTATAAATTTAGAATCTTCATCTTATTTAATAATTTGAAATTAGTTATTTTTTAAATAGAATTTTTAGTTTGAGCACTTGTTTTAATAAGTGTCTTAATTGTCTAAAATCAATAGATACATATTGGTATTTTCTGAAATATAATTACCGATTTTTTTGCAATAGACTTGGAGCAATAAAATATGCAGAAAATTGTGATGAATTTTAGTAAAATTTTCATTGTTTGTCAATCTTGAGCACTTCACAATCAACGTATGTATAATAAAAATAATTATATTGGTCCCATTTAATTCAACAATAATTTATAATAATAATTGTAGTTCTGTGAAACGAAATGCTAAGTTTCTGATAAAACTCAATTTAAAACATTTGAATAAATACTTTTAATAATAAAATAATAAAACCAATAAAATGTCCTTATGTCAATAATTTGATTAATTTTCGTTTTAATGTGAAATTTGGGGTCGCGGCATATATCCACATATCATATATGACATATATCCACACGTAGTCGGTTCTAGTCTATACTCTTTGAAACATTTGTGTCAGGCTCTACATACAGTTTTTAAAAAATAATAGTCATAAAAAAAAATTTTTTTTATGTCTAATATTATAAATTTTACAATATTTATTACTAAGTATTTAGTATATGCAAACAATTAAACCTAGTGGAGACATCTAGCGAATAATACATTCTCACAATTTACTAAAAGTATATTTTTAAATATTATTAAAACAAAACTGTAACACAGTGAGATTGCGGAACAGTTTGGACGTAGCAAGTTGGGACAAATATAGATGATAACTGACTATTTTACTATGAAGTTGGAGGAAGAGGTTCCAATTTTTGTGATGCTGAACTCAAAGAATTGATCAATAAATAATTTTTCGCTCGATAACTTCTATGAATTTTTCTTCTTCTACATCACCAACGTCTATATACTTATTGACTAAATAATAAGTCATCTGTTTAATGAATTTGAACTGCACGTACAGTATTCATTATCACATGTAAAAATGTTAAATTACATGATGGTGAAATGGAGTATGTATATGAAATGAGGTAGCACAATGAGATCACGGCTCAGTGTGGACGTGGCATTGTTGGGACAAGTATAGATGATATCTGACAGTGATTAAAATTACTATCAAAGAAAAGCTTTTATGCAAATCTGTAGATAATGTTTAATTTTAAGAAATTGATAGATTATTCAAAAAGGAAAATTAATTCTTATTTCTTTACTTATATTCTGATTACAATTTTTATAATTTATTAGTGTAATATATGAATAAATATGTTTTGTAGCAATTAAATATAGTAAGAATTTAATAATTATTGATATTTAATAAATTAGTATTGTAATTTTTTCGGAGAATTTATAAAAAAATTATGAAGTAGTTATAACTTTTATGACAAATATGTATAAGAGTTGAAGAGCTTAATGCGATACTTAAAAAAAAAACTGTTTGTTAATTTCGATTAAATACACTTCATAAAAGACAATTACTATGTCATGTTTTGAACTGAAAATAGCGTTACTTTTAGCACGTTGATTAGAGCGCATTAAATCTATTTCGTCTAGAGATTCAAATTTTATTGGTATCATGAGTATAGTCTTCTTATGGATAGCGCGTTACTCTTGCACTAACCACGTGGATAATCAACCCAATGTTCACGTTGACACACAGTTATCATTAATGGTAATTCGTGTCCCCCGCTAATTTGTTGATTGGGTGGGAAAACTACATTATCATCGAGACAGAATAAGGTTTTGCGTGGAGTGCACGTAGGGTAAATACACTGCAAGGTATACTTAGCTCGCTTTGTTGTTAAACTAATGGTTTGTCACCAATCCTGATGATTCCATTTATTCTTAAGATATAATTCATTTTTTTGACTTATAAAAATTATATGTATAAAATTATAGCCAAAAATTTCGTTAAAATCACTATTTTTATGGTAATAAATCATTTAAACAAAAAAAATATGGCACAGTGGGGTCATGGCATAGTTGGATCCAATATAGATGATATCTGACAGTGATTAAAATCACTATCATAAAAAACGCTTCGATGCAAATCTGTAGATAGTCTTTAATTAAAAAAAATTAATGGATAATTGCAAAAGCAACATCAACTTCTATTAAAATAAAATACAAAACCCATAATTATCATACAAAAATAGTATATTTTTCAATATGGTAGCCATTTGCGTATAGAAGATAGATCGTCGGGACAAATTTTTTTTTTTCATTTTGTAGTACATAAAATAAGCTTTAATTTTATATATGTTTAAAGGACGCAGTATTTCCGGAACATTTTCAAAAATTAAGTTGAAAAAGTTATTTTTTGTAAAAAAGTTACTATTTTAAATCCTCCCAGTGAGCAGAATAAGTGTTAGATTTTCAAAAAAAATTATATCAAATGAAAGGGAAATATCTAAGGTTTCAATACAAAAGAATATTATTTTTATTTGTTCATTTTTGAAAAAGTTATGGCAGTTTTAAGTACAAAAAACATCCCGATAAAATGTAATTTTTATCGCAAACATTACATTTTTTTTTAAATTTTCGACAGCCATTTGCACATAGAAGATAGATCGTCGGGACAAATTTTTTTTTTTCATTTTGTAGTACATAAAATAACCTTTGATTTGATATATGTTTAAAGGACGCAGTATTTC